AGATACTACTGCTAAAGCAATCTTGTGTTCACTTTGAATTTTTGCAAGAGTTGTATTCTCCAAAAATGTCTTTGCTGTTCCTCCTGGCCTATCAAGGAAAAACATATCTCTAGCATTAATATCAACTGATCTAAGGACTACTTGAAATGCATATCTGCAGAATTTAACTGTGATTGACATCTCTGAAGTACCCTATTTAATTATACTTGATTTCATGATATCTGATCATATAGTAATATATTCTGATGTTGACTGCAAAGACTATATATAGTTTAAGTCAGATAAAGGTAATGGTAATTTAAAGTCATCTAACCCTTTACCCATATCAGAGAGTATCTTTTAAAGACGATATAGTCTACAGTTATATATTTACTCACCTGATAGACTCAGAACTTCTATACTATATTTCACTCTATACATACAGTCATCAGACACAAAATCTCTATATATTAATGACAAATTCACTGAATCAGACGGACTTGATTTATATAATATAATTGCAAAGAGATTTCATAGCTATTTTCCAGTATGAATTGAAGTTGCTTCCAACAGATGTATATTATATTTATTGATATCTTTAAGTAGTTCTAAGGCCATCCAGGCTTCTCAATATCTTGATTTTACAGTATACTCTCCTAGGACTATTCTAAGATCGGTAAACAATATTGCTACTATTTGATAGTATAATAGTATTTGAAGATAGAAGAGTTCGCCAACTTTAGATCCTATGTAGTAGTTTCAACCAATAACACAACCTCACTCTCTTGGCTTCCAGACCTATTTCTTTTTATCAAAAACAAATGTAAATATAAATACTTAATTCTATTAGTACTTATAATTTCAATATAAACTTCATATTAATAATAATTTAAGCAGGCATAAGAAGTATATTAATATACCTTGTTGAATAATCTGCATATAATAAATTGTGGCCATTGAAATATATTAGATTCAATTTGAATCATACTTTCAAACTGGTATCTTGCTAGGACTAATCAAGCAATTGTACAATTCCTCTTTCCTCAGCTGGATTGAAGTATATTAACTGTTTGTCTTCTAAGTATAATGCTAGTTGATAAACAGCAGGATTCTTATCATGTATTTTATAACCAAAAATCTCATAGTATGCTTCAGGAGGAGAGATATATTATGTATCAAGATAGTTCTTAACTTCATCAATTAGTTCACAATCTGGATTTTCATATGCAATCAAAATATTTGCCTTGTCTTCAACTGTATATATATATTTATATATATACTTGACTGCTTTAATAGAAGAATAAACTTTAATATTAATATAAGCATTGTATTTCTTACTTAAGTATTGACTTATTATAAGGTACAATCTGCTGGCTGGAGTAGTTGTAATTATAATATGCTCTACTTAGTTGCTGAATTTGCTTTATAAAGGAGAATACTAAGGAGGTATTACTTGTAGTCTCTGATGGTCTTCACATATATCTTAGATATCTATTTGTGTCTAAGGTAGTTGCCAGAGTAAATTCTGTAGGGAATCTCTTAGAACATTTGCCATTTATTTCTTGTCCATCTTACATGCAAGGGTCTGCTAGAAACTCTTTACTACAGAGATCATAAACCATTGTTGTTGTTACTATATGTCATAACTTAATGTCATCTGCTAGATTTGGAAATTCAGCTTCCAGAGTCCAATCAACCTCTTCTGCTATATCAATTTGTTTTGCCAGAATTAAGAGAAGATGTGCATGTGGGAGTCCTCACTTTTGGTATTCAATTGTCCATATAAAAGCCAATACAGATCCAAATATCTTCTTCTTTCTAATATTACTTATTAGTACTTTAAATTTAAGATTATTAATATGAACAACTAAATCTGGTCCATCTGATGCTGATTGTCTTGGTTTTAAATTATCCTGAATCTTGTTCCAATTAGGATTACAGGTCATAGTTATAAACAGATCTCTATTCTTATAATATCAGATAATTGCCATTGAGTCATAATAATTCTTACTTATTTGATGCAGTGATCCTGAAATAGATGAAGAAAGAAGAAGATGGTTACCAACTGTCTCCAGTCTAACTCCAACATCTCCATCAGTTGTTTCTAGCCTTTTCCTGAAATCCTGACAGACTTTGAGCTCTCAACTTAGGTTGGTTTTCTCTAATCTAGCGAAGAGAATTTTACTTATTAAAAGCTGCAGCATCAACCAAGTACTCCTGAAACAATCGGTTACTATAGTAAAGAAGTGACTTAATTTTCCTTTGCTTAAAACAATAGTATACATGCCATATTGTAAGAGAAATATGCTTTGAACTAATATGTCCTGTTGTTGGATTCATCTGATGTTCTAGAGCTAGAATTTGCTACTCATATTCAATACCATGAATCTGACAGTTTACTCTACGGGTAGGGTAACTTTCTTGCACTTTAGTAGAGTAACTACTGATAGCTTAGAGAGAGTAAGGAGCTGTTTGACGTTACAGTTTTGTGTGGTTACCCACCATGATTTAACCATAAAGCATAAAAACTGAGCAATTATGACCCTTAAAATGGATTATATAAGCAGGTTTTGAGGCCAAACCATGGTTGGTAACCACACAAAACAGTAACACCAAACAGCTCCTAACTCTCTCATACTTTGATAGCATAACTACTTGTAGCTTAGATAGGGTAACTACCTGAATCTCAAGTAGAGTAACCTCTGAGATTAAGGTAGAGTAACTATGATACCTGAACCTTGAGGAGGGTAACCTCTGAGATCATTGTATAGTAACCATATGCTATACTGGTATATCAACTATACATAGTTTTAGGTAGAGTAACTTTCTTGTATTTAAGTAAGGTAACTACTTGTAGCTCCAGTACAGTAACTACTTAGAGCTCAAGTAGGGTAACTTCTTATACTGAGGTAGGGTAACTATGTGGCCTCTGAGTAGTAATAACTTTATAGTGTTCAGGTAGGATAACTTTCTTATCTTTAAGTAGGGTAACTACTTGTAGCACCTGTAGGATAATTATCTGAGCTCAGGTAGGGTAACTGCCTAGGGCTCAGGCAGGGTAACCTTTTCATATTTTGTTAAGGTAGGGTAACTTTATTCTCCCCTCACATATCACATTTTCTATTTCCAGCATCAAAGCTAACCACTGACCCCTTACCCTTTCCGTTTTTTTTCCGCTCTCATTTTATTTTCTTCCCCCCGGTGTCCTTTATGTCCTTCAACCCACCCTCGCTTAGTGCTGTCTTTCCGGGCATTTTAGCATTGTCTCATAGTGCATGTCTCATAGTGCATTTTAGCGCTGTCTTTCCGGGCATTTTGTACTGGCGGTTTTCAGGGGTCTTGAGTACTATAGATACTAATGGCCAAGATCGTGCAAATGATTGGTAAGTTCTGGAATTAGCTGTTTCAAATCAAGACAAAGGTTAATTTGTACAGGTCACCAAGTGACAACCAAGGCCCTGAATACTCATGCTGAAATTCGCGCCTCCCCACGCAAGACCGGAAGGTCCGTTTTTTTACCCGCGCGTCCAGGAGTCCGTGAAAGAATTCGACGAAGTGGGGGAATACAATGACGGGAGTTATTTGAGTGAGAGCTCCAACGCAGCCTCACGGGCATACTGGAAGTGTATGGCGTGTATCAAGTCTGAAGTGAGAAGCACCTAGGTCACTGACTAGGTGAGTATCGTGGCATCCACGGCTGTCTGAGCAAGGGGGTTAGTTCTGGCGCTGGCATTTGCTTTTTTATTGATGATATCTTCTAAGCTGGGGGGATCGTTAAGTTGATATTATGAGCCTTGGAACCTGAGAGGAATAGGAAAAATAAGGTATCCAATTAACTGGCTTTAATCAAGATTTTGTTTGCCTTGCTCGTACTGCTCCATATCTACCCCTTTGCGAGGTCCATGCGGGGTGCCGAGGAGGCATGGGAGCGAGGTGGTAAAATCTGTCAAGTAAATAGCAGGAATTTGTACTTCATTCCCTCATGGACCACACTGTTGGCTGAAAGGGTGATAGAGGGTTGCGGGTTGAGATTTCCGGTGGCGGTGATTACGGGAACCAGTTTACTTTGCTAGGCAAGGTGGCTCTGGCTTTAGCTATTACTTACCTAGGCAGTCGCTTTTCCTGTTTTTGGCATCTTCCTTGGCATTTGCCCCAAGTGCTCATACCTTGGTGTTGATCAGTTTGTGTGTACTAGTGGTGATACTCTGCCAAGGAATGTATGGTGGTGCTCCCTAGCACAAGGTAGGGGGAGCAGCCAGAGGTTTCGTGTTGGATTACCCCTCCGACGTAATTCCATTGTGTGGGCATGCTGGTGTGGCGGACAACTGTTATTTGCTCACAAATTACACATTGAACACAGGGAAGCGCAACGACCAAGCAAATCCAATTGACTAACCGAACGAGGCCCAGACCTATCAGAAGGCTTCACCGGCTCTAGTGTAATATTAGATTGCTATCAATCGGAAAGGTGGTATCTGTGTGCTCATATCTCTTAGGGGCCGGTCTGATTAGGGGCTTCACAATTGGGGGAGTCTCATGTGCTACTAGGGTCGGGAATTAAATCGTGTATCTGTGTCCAAGAAAGACTTGGCTCAAGCTGATGATAGATAATTGATGACCAGGTGACGCTCGTAGTGCTAACGTCCACTGGATGAGCGCAGGGCATTCTTTCGGTCGATGTCAATTACGAATCAGAGATCCCTAGAAACTAGTGCCTATTGTAGTATTGAGTAATTGTGAAATTAGGATTTCTGGAGCAGTGACGTTAATAGATGTTTAGGGGAGACAGCCAATTTTGAAGAGCTGGGGTCATGATTGGGGGAGGGATTAGAAAAGCATGCCATGCCCCGCGGTGGCTTGGCGGGAAGAAGCTCACCTCGGGATTACGCGAAAGAACTAGCTACCATGGAGGCAACAATCGGTATTTGAGGCAGCCGTTTTCTATGTTTTCTGGGGAAACCGACAACGTCCCTTTCCACCCGATCCATCATTCCTCCGACTCTGCACCGCAGAAAAACATGATGTTCGCGAAAAAAACAACAACATTGGGGGATCTTCAGAATCAATTCAACGAGGAAGTACCTGACCCCATCGGGACCCGCGGTGAGCTAATTTATTCTCTGGGGTGCATCAGGGACCCTGAATCGCAGCGTCCTCTCCCCGAAACTCGATATGATACAGCCTCCGACACCAAACCAGATTCCACACCAGGAATCAGCAAACCATGAGGTGATGAAGGGCGATCCACGATATTCACTCCGAGAGCCACAATACGCGGAGGAACTTTGCGTGGGCTTCCGAACTAGCGTTTTATTCATCGAGTCCCTGGACCTCAATATCGAGGATCCCCGTCCACACAGAGGCAATCAGGAAGCGACAGACGGGGAAAAACGAGACAATTACCTCCCCTAGCAACCTTGTTGACTCTCTTGGCATCCATGCGAATTTCCTTGATACCCCCTTAACACATATGACGGTTCTATCGGGCCCCAACAAACTCCTAAGGAACAGTTTCATCAGCACCTTCAAGCGAGATAAGCTAGGAAGTGCAACAGAGGATGACTTGAGAATAATTAGAACGAGCGGGGATCAGATTCAGGCAGAGGATTCTGTTGCGGATTCCTTGCGATATATAGGAATCTGTGCTAGAAAAGATTTTATGGTTATTAAGAACTTGTCCGGGTTTCTCCCAGAAGAGGTGAGAAGGATTAGGGAGGGACCGCAGAGACGACCGCCCCTTGTTGGAAAATGTATTGAAGTTAACTCCGTCCAGGGCACATTAAGAGTATCTTCCGTTTGGACGCACACGGCGGAGTCGCTGCGAAGCACAAGATCGGTAGCGACAAATTCTACCAACTTTTTTCTCACTTTGTTCGGGTGTTTCACCAAACAGGCAAGAGGTTCGAGGGGGTTACCTGTATGGTGGGACCACGAGGACAACGGGCACTTACTGGGCTTTTGTATCTTGCATCAGGGTCGAGGTCAGCAATAGGCAACGTTTGTGGAGTACTGTGTTTCTTGGGCTTGATAATTCGTGGTGTTTGACATTGTACATATCTCAATTTGAACGTTAGTGGAACGATGAGATTGATTTTCATTGCCGCGGCTGGAACAGTCTAATACTTCTTATGTTGTGATATATTCTGATTTGTCACAGCAATCTTCGCCTTCTGCCCTTCCCCGTCCTATTTCAATCCAAGGAATCACCGCTAGATGGCTACCTCCTTCTGAGCTATCGATCACTTGAAGGAGGGATACCTCTGGCATTCCAATGGATACTGTTCTGGGTTAGCTGGGCGGCGGTGGATCTCTCTTTCTTGGGTTGGGTTTTCAGGTATCGGGTTTTCGAACCCACTTACCAAAATTGAATAAACCTGGCCAGACCCAGCACAGCGAACCTGGTAAAACGTTCGGGGCCTGCAGAAAACAAAGAACAGTAATCCACCACCGGACCCAATGAACCCAACGTAGTATCCATTGAAGGCCTGGAAATACGAGAAGACCGGGTGATCAGATTTTTGCATGCACCGCACCACACTGGGATTCAATAAGATTGGGAGAGAGATGGCTGGGACAGGGTGGGCCAAATACAGTCTATCCATCCATCCATTTTCATGTCCAAAGCTATCTCCAGGGCTACGGGAACATTCAAAATCTCTGGCAGCCACAGTCGCTGTTAGAAAGCAACCCTGCGGTTCTTTACTGGAACTTCGTGGATGTCCACACTTTAGGCCAGGCTCCATTTCCACTCTTGCGGACCCTGCTTCTTACCATCCTGTTAAGGAGGCCAGAACAGAGTTCAGCACCTCCACAAAGATCCCACGGTCCTGCCTAGCCGCTAAAATTGGAGCTCCATAAGTGCGCAGGTATGGCATCCTCTAAGATAAAAGCTCCTGGCTAAAACCCCACTACTACCTAGCATCTTTGAAGCTCTCATGCCCCTCAGCCCTAGGACTTTGGGCATTTAACGCGTTTAGAACGGGCATGGTGTAAACTAGGATAATTGGTATATTGCACGTCCCGTTCCAGGTACTACCCGCGTTTGGAAAGGCTTGAAAAATTGTCTCCCTCGGGTAATTTGGGAAAATAAATTTGCACAAATTCCCCGTTTATGGTATCCCTAGCTGCATACACGGAAACAATCATCTGACCTGAGTGACCTCGCACTTAGAAGCGAAACAAAAGGTCTGGCACTACTTTAGTAGTAGGTGCTCCCGCTTGATATGCTGTTTCACGTGAAGGATCAGCGTGTGCGCTAATTGATAGTGCTGGAGCAATCACCAATGAGAGCTGTAAAAGGAAGATATTCCGAACTATCGGTTACGGGCAATAACGCCAAATGTCTATACAGAGAATCGGGTGTTTGGGGACTCGGGGCCATAGTGCACAGAGGTTCGGTTTGGAGGGTAGCATGTGATCAATCATTATACTCGAGCAGTCAGAAAATATGGGCTACCTTTGCGTACCGATGAGAGCGTCTTGTGGTCCATATTTTTCTACCTAACCAGAGACGTCCCATATATGCACAATTTCCCTGCGTACCAAATACTCTGTTCCCCAACTTGAATTCCCTTTCCATATCTCCCACTGCACTTTCCATTTCCACCCCAGCAGCTGCCATCTGAGCAACTTCTGAACCCTCGCGAATTTTATCTTGCTATTAAAACTTCCTTATTGTGCAGCACCGGTATGTATTAACCCCAATGTACCTCTTCCGGTTAAACCTCCTAGCGTTCACCCAAATTGCTAAAACCCCTCGAGCGCCAGTTCAACAAATAACTCCTACACTATTCTGAATGCCCAGTCATCCCGTCCTTATTCTCGAACTAGCTCTTCAAACAGACCAGGTATCACCGATGCAACTGCAATCGTGGTTCTCATCCATCGCTCCCACATCACCCGTGGTTAAAGGAAGCTTCACCAATTTCATCAAGTACTTGCTTGGTGGATCAAGCGAGGAGGAGTTAGCGAATAGGGCCAGAAAGCCTCAGGGGTATTTCCGCCTCCGGCAAAACACCCTATATGCTAGCACGCGGTATGAGCGGTTTCGCTAGAGTTGAAGAAAGACAAAAACCGCAAAATGGGCAGGCATGAGTGCTCTAGTAGCTCCTGATTTTCACTACTTAGCTGGTATGACTCTTGAGGTACAATGAAGGGTATAAAGTATATAGCTAGCTTAGATGGATACCCAACTCCTGCCTAATCTGTGGATACCTCGACTGGCAATGAATCTCCCGTCTCTCCTGGCGCGCTTAATGGATGGGTGTTCGCATACATTGCCGTCGCAGGGAGCATAAGCGAGGGGCACCGTGGGGTGTGGGTTGGTTCCCTCGTGCTGGAACCATACCCAAATGGGGAGTTTCGGACGACCGCCAAGGTAATAAATTTAGACTATGTTGGAATGAGAGTGTATTGTGGTTCTTATTGTCTTTACGTCGCCCGAGGTGTCCTATATATACACAGCCTCGACTTTTCCCAGTCTCCACTTCTGATCTTGTTCCAAATCTTCCGGGCCATTCCCTTCCGACTTCTTCTGATACATGTTTTTCTCTTTTCCACTCGGTCAAGGCCTCTACCCTTCCATCCAACCCAGTACCTCCGACAGTCCTAACACTCATACAGTTTCTTCCATGTTTCCTAATCATCATAGTGCGACATCCCCAAGTCTCAGCCCCCATAAACCTTAATCTCATACAAGCCATCATCTCACTATGCTCATAGCTGAAACCCTCCAAACACTCTCGCCACGCTTTTACTTCTAAACAATACAGCCTTCACAAATCTCTGACAATCTCCCAACAAACTAACGCACCTCCAACTAGGTTTCTGAAAATGCCACCCAGTAATCATTGCGGTAACATGTTTCCATCGGGAACCTTCGTGAATTTCAACACAAGGTGCCCGGATCTTTGGCCTCCTGCTGCGGCGTAATGTTTAAGCGGTGGCGAGAGCGTTCATGACTGAAGTGAAGACGGTGCAGGGATTAGCTACGAGGCATGGAAAAATATGCTAGAAGGCATCTTCGACCTAAGTGACTAATATCGTTCATGCCCCAATCACGTTGCAGAGTGTCAGCGTTCCCAATGGTCGGACCGGTCTGGTCTTGGGGGCTTGACTGGACCTTCAATCATGATCGATCATGCGGACTGGACTTGACTACCTTACACAGTCCAGTCTGGTCTAGACCAGTTTCTGACCAGTCCGAAAGACAGGATCTGAGAGTAGTCTGACTCCTATTATTTGATGAGATAATATAGTGAAAATAGAACTGTTAAGAACCGACTACCACCATATGTTAAAAACAATTGAGAATCAGCCTCTCCCACAATGAAAAAACCAGGGAAGCGAAACAAACGTAGGAAATGTTACCAAACTTGACTCTGGATAGGGAAAACAATATTCTCCTCATATCACCAGGGACGCCTTTTATATCAATTTCTTCACCTCTAGTACTAGGACATTCCACCATAGGCTAACCCGGTCCCCCACAAATTCAAAACAAATATCTACTTTCAGACAGGTTGGGCGAAACTCAAAGATACACTAACATAACAGCTGAGGTTTTGCGTAAGGGCCGTGCACATTTTATCACTCGGTCCCCTCGGTCTGACCAATCCCCAACCAGTTCGGTCTTCCAACTTGACTGCCCGGTCAGTCTCAAATCTCTCATGGGACTAGACCGAATTTTGACCAGACTACCTAGTCCAGTCTAGTCCATCGCCGACCATTCGGAACCCTGCAGAGTGTTCCAGTTTTTTAGAAAAATAATTTTTCATTAAACAAGAACTTTTACAAAGATAGTTTCTCGTTCCAGCGCCAGTTCCCCCCCCCTCCTTTTTTTCCTTATTTTTTCCACTAGCAGATGCCTGCTCGCCCATCTCCCTGCACTGCCTCTACACCCTGTCTTAGAATCCCCTCACAAGGAATCATTTTCAATACTTGGAACCTCACCGCTACTTCCAGCACGGAACATTGCTCCTTCCATCCCCCTCTCCTCAATCGCATCCTTAGACTCCGCCACAAAGATGCCATGAGGAAGTACCGTATCGCTGCTTGACGCCTGGGTCGGAGACTTGACGCTGGCCGAAGTATCCTCCGCCCTCATAGTTCCCAGGTACAAAGTAATCTGACGGCTTAATTCTGCATCCACACTCTTCAAGAATTCCAGCTTAAACATTAAAGCTTTAGTTTCTTCGTTAATTCTCTCAGTGGCTGTCTTTCTCTTGCCCCCCGCACGACCCTTGCGCTTTGGATTCCGGGACTTGGGACAATTGGTGGTAGCGTTCTCCAAAGTGGGACCCGGTGAGTCAAGCTGCGTGATTTTCTTCGTAACTCCTGCACCATCCTTGTGCTTAAGAATGAGCGACATGGTTATGACAGCTGCTGGCGACATAGTCTGCTTGATCGTAACCTTAGACAAACTGGCATTCTTAGAGACCCCGGCAGTCGGGTCCTTCTCTGACCTCCCCCTTGGCCTTTCCCTTCGGCGCAGTATGACCTGTCAAACGTCTGACATGATACTTCTTTGTAATCCCCGCATCTCCTTTGGGCCTGAGAATCGGCCTGGCTGGCTCGGCGTTGGGCGTCACTGGATGCCGGTCTGTGGAACCCCTACCAGCTGCCAAATTTGCCAGAATATTGGGTGATGGAGGTGGTGTCTTCCGCATAGTAGCATGAAGAAACGGCAGATATTGTGAACACTGTTTTATCCACCAGAGAATATGTTGGTGCGGCTCAGTGCCATTTAGTATCTCACCAGGAGTTATTTTCTGGCTGGTTTTCGAGATTTTATTAGTCCTAGTGGCAGTAATATTCTGAACATCCTTCCGCATCTTGTTCCAACGGTTCAGATTTTTCATCGCCATCACCTTTTCCACCTTGGGCTTTACCTTTGCCTTGACTACACTCCGACCCTTTAAACCTGTGTTAGTAGTAGCCCATGCTCTACAGGTGGGCTTGGTAATGGGGGACTTTACCTTTCTGGCAGACCCTGCCATAATATCACAAGGAAAATCCATCGCAACTTCGTTCTTCGTAATTGCACTGGTTTGGGTAAATTCCCGGCCATGCTCAGCCTGGTTGAC